TGATCTGAAGCGCCACCTCCTTTTCCAAACAAGGGCACCCATTTAGATCACGAAAGCACCAACGTGCCTTCTGCCATAGGGCGCCTTTCTTGCCCATCCAACCACACCGACAGGTCAAAGACAATGGCCGGCGGATCTTCCACGACCTACGACTTCTACGACTCCTACATTGCTTCTATTACGAGTACTACTGCTCCTACTACTATTATTATTGATTTAATTTTGTTATTGTTTCTTCTGTTACTATTACTTCCCCTATTACTATTACTACACCTACTACTAGTATTCGTACTGGAATGACTACTATTATTATTACTACTATTACTACCTACTACTGCCTACTACTACCTACTACTACCTATTACTGCCTACTTCTACCTATTACTACCTAGTACTACTATTACGATTACTACTACAACAAAACAACAACAACTACGGCTACTACTACAGCGACTGCTACTACTGCTACTACTGCTGTTTAATGCCACTATTGCTCTGCTATTATACTACTATTACTACTACTATTGTTATTATTATTATTATCATTACTACTACTACTACTACTACTATTACTACTACTACTACTACTACTACTACTACTACTACTACTACTACTACTACTACTACTACTACTACTACTACTACTACTACTACTACTACTACTACTACTACTACTACTACTACTACTACTACTACTACTACTACTACTACTACTACTACTACTACTACTACTACTACTACTACTACTACTACTACTACTACTACTACTACTACTACTTACAATTACTACTACTATTACTACGACGACGACGACCACAACTACTACTACTACTACTGCTACTACTACTACTACTAGTACTACTACTACTAGTACTACAACTACTTCTGCTACTACTACTACTACTACTACTACTACTACTACTACTACTACTACTACTACTACTACTACTACTACTACTACTACTACTACTACTACTACGCCTACTACGCCTACTACGCCTACTACTACTTCTACTACTACTACTACTACTACTACTACTACTACTATTACTAATTACTAGTACTACTACTGCTACTGTTACTGCTACTGCTACTGCTACTGCGACTGCTACTACTGCGATTACTGCTACTACTGCTACTACTGCTACTACTGCTACTACTGCTACTACTGCTACTGCTGCTACTGCTACTATTACTACTACTGTTACTACTATTACTACTGCTACTGCTACGACTACGACTACGACTACTACTATTACTACTACTACTACTACCACTACTACTACTACTACTACTACTACTACTACTACTACTACTACTACTACTACTACTACTACTACTACTACTACTACTACTACTACTAGTACTACTACTACTACTACTACTACTACTACTACTACTACTACTACGACGACGACGACGACGACGCGACTACGACTACGACTACGACTACGACTGCGACTGCGACTACGACTACGATTACGACTACGATTACGACTACGACTACGATTACGACGACGCTTACTACGACTATTACGACTACTACGACGACTACGGCGACGACGACTCCTACGACTCCTACGGCTCCTACGACTCCTACGACTCCTACGACTCCTACGACTCCTACGACTCCTACGACTCCTGCGACTGCCGACTTACGACTAAAACGACTCCTACGACTCCTACGACTCCGACGACTCCTACGACTCCTATGACTCCTACGACTCCTACGACTCCTACGACTCCTACTACGACTCCTACAACTCCTACGACTGCTACGACTTTTTCGGCTCCTACGACTCCTACGACTCCTACGACTCCAACGATCCCTACGACTCCTGAACTGTTCACCACACGCTCAATGGGCTTCTGGATTCTCTTGAACGCCCCAACTGCTCCTACAAGAAGGAACTTGCACATGAGCATACTGCTTCCCAGCCGCGAACCGCCTAGTATGAGTACATGTAGAGGCACAAAATGATGCTGGGAAGTTATCCAGGAGAGACTGTCATATACCCATGCATTGCAATACAATTGTATGTTGCAAACGACTGCTACGACTTATACGACTCCTACGACTCCTACGAATCCTACGACTCCTACGACTTCTACGACTCCTACGACTCATACGACTCCTACGACTCCTACGACTACTACGACTCCTACTACTACTACTACTACTACCACTACTACTACTACTACTGCTACGACTGCTACTACTGCTACTACTACTGCTACTACTACTGCTGCTACTACTACTGCTGCTACTACTACTACTACTACTATTACTACCCCTACTACTACTACTACTACTACTACTACTACTACTCCTACTACTACTACTACTACTACTACTGCTACTACAACTACTACTACTACTACTACTACTACTACTACTACTACTACTACTACTACTACTACTACTACTACTACTACTACTACTACTACTACTACTACTACTACTACTACTACTACTACTACTACTACTACTACTACTACGCCCCAACCGGGTGGTTTGCCCACACACAGTGGTCAAGCATGGGTTTGGACAAGCATGCTTGAATCAGCTCTTGCCGCAGCATGTCAGCATGAACCATGTGGCACCCAACAGCCCAAAGCCTAAACCTTAAACTCCAGAATGCAGAGACGGACACGGCCCCGGCATACGGGAAGCGGGGCGCAGACGCTGGGCAGCTCGCTGAGGAGGCTTTTTTTCTGCCTCCGAAGCAGGTGGCCAGCGTCTGCGCCCCGCTTCCCGTATGCCAGGGCCGTGTCCGCCTCTGCAGACCGCGGACCTGTGGCCGCGCGACCCAACAAGCACGGGACTGCGTCAGTAGTGTAGTGGCCACAAGACGAGTCGTCTGCGAAATCCTGAGCTATGAAATAGGACCAAGAACTTCTGGAGTTCAAGGTTTAGGCTTTGGCTGTTCGTTGCCCACAAGCAGAAGACGCGGGCAAACCGTAAACTGTCTTACGCCTCAACCCTGAACCCACGCCCGAAAGCAGTGTTATTTCCTTGAAGCCCAGGACGACAAAACACCGAAGCCCTCGTGCTGGACTCGCGCCTGAAACACTCCAAACCCCAAACCGTAAGACACGCGCGCGGGCAAACCATAGGGTTCTGCGAAGTCCGGAACGCAGGGAAACCCGCAGAGGGTCGTCGTTTATGAAGCAAAAAAACGGAAAAAAAAACACTGTTGAAAGGCCCGGCAAAGGCCAGAAACGCTGCGCCTGCGCATGTTTTATGTACCTTCCAAAAACAAGCGCGGGCAAACCATAGGGTTGCACCGTACTACTGTTACTATGATCGCTACCCCGGCAAGGACGATCGTTGTTTGTGAGATCCTAGCAAGATTGCTGACAAATCGGAAGCATCACCTGGCAGGTTGTGCACCGTGTTTTTTGGAACTGCAGTACGATCTTTCTTCAAAAAATGCCGAATGGTAGACAGACTTTGCGCGACGAATTTTCCCACGCATATTTTGATTTTAACCAGCTGCAAATTCAAACGCTGACGTTTCATCATGTCAATCCAAATAATCTAAGTTCATGTAAAAGTGCTGTTCAAACCTTGATTCTCTGTTCAATAATCACCTTTCTAGTGATTTTTCAAAAAAACATTGTAAGAAAAAACATCAGCAAACGCATTAAATGTTTCCGAAAATGTGTTCCAAACAGTTGTTGTTCAGGTTTTTTGCAGCTACATTGGGAGTATTAGATGAGTGCAGTGCAGCGCAGTGCAATGCAATGCAGTGCCGTGTTTCATGCTTTCTAGACTGCAATGTTCCAGCAAGATTTGCCAACACGTGGGTCTTGTGTTGGGTGGAGGCCTGTTAGATGGCAAATGGAAGTTCCATCAGCTTCGGGAACGTAACGAACTTGGGCCAGTAGCTCGCCATCTTGGGGTTGCCAAAGTTGCCACGCATTGAAGTCCGTGCTGAGGTATATATTGGGCAAAGATAGGGGCTGCGTCACCTTGTGGGGCAACTCGTGAGGCAATCAACTGCCGCCCCGTCGTTCGATACGTCCAATGACACTGGTCGCGCTCGATTCTAGCGTGGGTATCTTCCTCTTCTTCACCCCAAGAATTGCACTTCGATTTTCTACATGCTTGGAAAAGCTGCTTAGTGCGCGTTTCCCTAACGAAAGTAATTGTCAATAATGCCGAAAATCTGGTAAGCAAGTGATTGGTCATGGTCTGCATCCTCCATCCCAATATAACTGCACAGAGGATAAAAATATTGGTTCTCCTGGATGACTTCGTAGTTGCAAAACGGGGGAAAGCCATGTGTCAAGCATGTTCTGTTGTGAGTCTGACTGTATCGTGACTCAAGCCATCCTATCGAGACGGGCTTGGTCATCCGCCAGCCTTACTCAACTGTCATCGTTGACCTTGTGTGGCGGGGTTGCGCTTGTTGATGGTACTTCTCAACCAAGTCGTAAGAGAATGCGGTTGAATCTGGGCGAAGGGTGAGCCTCTGCCACTAGAAGGCTAAGGGCGGGTGGACTGGGCGGGTGGGTCCCAAGCAGTCCCAGAAACCTGAAAAGGAGGAAAAAGGTTGCTCAGCAGGAGCTGGACTTCACTTTTGGTACTCGGGAGACAGCGAATGTTCCAACAAATCAGCAGCCCGCGCAACTGGGAAACCGACTTTCCCACCATTAGGAGAAGGACCCGACTACAAGTGAAGAAAAACACAGTTCATTTTGCATTTCGATGCAGCGAATGTCGGTCGTTCACCAGAAGAGTAGCAGTCGGAGAATTCTTTGAATTCATGGATACCGCAAGGCTTGAACAGTTTTCTCACGTGACCCATGGCTCATGATGTTGTTGCTTTGTGCCAACCTGAGGCCTATCGCAGGCTCAAATTTGAAATATGTGACAGTGTCAAGGTGACTTTTGTCACCCGGGCGCGTGCCTCAAATCGCAGGAGGGCTGGTAGATCCAATTGTTTTTCTGTGGCTGTTGAGGCTTGTGCCCAAAGCGCGTGAGAACAAAGCCAATGAATCGGCAAGTTCATTCATCCATGAGGACACTGGCACTCGCGTAATCCGCATGTGTTTCTGCGGTTCAAACATGCTCAACATTTTCAGCTTAGTCCGAATGAGTTTTCCGTCGTTTTGGCCGCAAGACATGGCTTCTGCAGGGTTTTTGCTTTGTGAGTTCCAATGCATCGAATGGTGCAGGAGGAGACACGCAGCTCAGCTCTTCAAAACGGTGCGTGCCCAAGCATCGCGGTTCGCTTTCGGTAGGCCGGATTGCAATGCCAGATGCCAGCATTATTGAAACTTCGGTGAAATTTTTCGACAGGACATGTGCAAGTTCTTCTTGGAGGGTCGTTGCCAAAACGGAGATGCCTGCTCCTATGCGCACGAAGCCACCGAGGCCAGTTTCCCCAGCACGATGCTGTGAAAACCGAAGCTCGGAGAGTTATGTGATATGTGAAAGCGATGCCCATCTGGGTGCTGAGGTCAGGACGAAGCCAGATCTTACTAGAACTAGCATGTGCAGGCGGCGTGCTTTGGACATTGCCGTTTATTATCACGGCTTATTTCTTTGACTGTAGGACATTGCTCAGAGATGGCGCATGCAATAACGACAATTGCAGATTTGCGCACTCAGAGCCTTGCGCTCAGCTGAAATATGGTAAAACAGCATGTCGGGCGTCTCGCATGCATCATCTTGTGCTCCACATTGTGTAGCAGTCAAGTGTAGATTCACCGTGCCCTGTCCTGACAGTGGTGCCTTGAGGTCAGAACTGCGTTCCACGCACGGTTTCTTCAAGATGAAGATGTGTGTGTTTGCACAATCAGGCACGTCCTCTTGCAAGTCTTGTCCATATGTGTATTCCTTTCGCGTTGACTGTGCAAGGCAAGTGCAAGCATGGAAGCCAGTGTCGCTTTGCACACTCAGTGGACAGCTGCAGCACTTGCAGTTAGGAATGCTTTCTCTTCTCAGTCGTTCAGTTGAGCCACAAGCAGGACGAGTTACATCCAGTGCAGCCAGCTGTGGAGGACGGAAGCAGCTTGTGTCGTTAATTCTGGATCTAAAGGACCAAAGGTTTGCTTGCATCCATATGCAATGGCAACAAGACTGCGGCGATGGCAGCAAGACTGCAGCGAAGCACAGGACGTGCTGTCCGCCTCCTTTCCAATCGAGGAGAAAGTTTATGCACATCGGCGAATCCGTCGGCGCCGTTAAGATTCCTGTAGCGCTGCCACTGGCACCGTCAGGAGGAGTCTCCTCAGAAAGAGTTTCGCTCGATGCCTTCACGGCCATCTCAGACATACTCCAGTTCACAGCAGGTGCCACTGTAGCCTGGAGCAAACGGTTTTAGGTTGAAGCGTGCAAGGAGTCGCAAGGAACGAGCGCCAGCACCACTGCCAATGGTGGTAGCACCAGCGGCCAGTCAAGCAACGAAAACAGCCCCAGCCTGAGGGCCTAGTGGCCTATGTGTGGTTTGTTATGATCTTATGATTTGCTTGCTTCACGGCGTGCAGGACATGCTTCCTTCTCTGGGCGGTATCAAAGTCAACTTTCGGAAATTTGTGTAGAAGCTTTGCTGGGGCCTGTGTTCAGGTGGTTCCGCCCCAACGCCACGTGCAGCCGAGGCCGGCAATACTTGTGCCGGGCTGCAAGTTGGCAAGATCTGCGAGTCCGCCATGCGAAGCAAGGTAGACCCTCAGAGCTCCGAAGCACGAAGTCGCGCATCGCTGCCATGTTCCGCGTGGAACGAGCGTAATGAGAGGCGTGGCTAGCTGAATTTCGAGCCAAGAATGCAATTTTGAAGTGGGCAGGAACGAGAACTCAGACGGAAGTTCCTGGGCATCCGGCAACTCCAGTGTCACCGTGGTTCCAAGGCCAAAGCAGCACCTCACTTCAGCCTTCTTCATGATACAATCATGTATTCTCATTCTTTCTTGGAAAGTTTTGAGCCGTTAGGAATACCAAGAAATAACCATCTTGAATCATGGTTTACTAAAATATTGTGAATCATCTAAATAATTTTCATGATTTACGAAGAACTAGAATGAATCATGCACACAATACGTATTCATGTCAAATTCTGAGTATAGATGCAACAAATGAAAGCTTTGGGTGTGCACGCCCGCACGCACTTGCACAGCTGCACACCCGCACACCCACACACGCGGCCCGCGCACACATACGCACATGCGCACACGCACAGAGGCACAAAAAATCAAAGGCGCAAAAGCACACAGGTACGCACACGCACGCACACGCGCGTTTATATGCGCACGCGAACACGCAGACACATGCACACGCGATCCCCGCTTGCCCGGTCACACCCACGCCCCACCCACACCCGCAACCGCACCCAGACCATTTCCCGCACCCACACCCACACAACAACACATGTGCACATGGGCGCACACGCGCGCACACGAGCGAACGTGCACATGCGCACACGCAGTCTCACACCCGCGGAGGCACGCACGCACGACATACACAAGCATACATAGACGCAGACACGGGCGCACACGATGCAGGCACGCACACATGCAGGCAGGCAGGTTCGCAGGCACGCGAACACGCACGCAGGCACACACGCACGCACGCACGCACGCAGGAGCACACGCACGCAGCAGGCGCACAACACGCAGGCGCACACTTAGACTTAGACACATAGACTTGCGCACATACGCACAAGCATGCGCTGCAGTCCAATCCATTGCACTCCATGCCACTCTACTCCACTTCACTCCGCTCCACTCCTTTCCACTCCTTTCCACTCCTTTCCACTCCTTTCCACTCCTTTCCACTCGACTCCATTCCACTCCACCCCACCCCACTCCACTCCACTTCACTCCACTCCGCCCGAATCCACTCCAGTTGGCCACTCCAATGTCCATGTAATTATGCTTTTTGCGACGTCATCATCATCCGATATCTTGTCAAGTTGGGTTTGATTCTCACACAGCTTCACATTGACATGCAGTTCATAGTCGCATACTATATAGGCACGCTGCAGTCTTGCAGGAGCGAGCACACAGGGACCGGGTCCCCACCCGCGACGACGAGCGACAGTAGCAGCAGTGGTCGGGAATCTCGGCTCGCCACAGCTGCACTGCGATCCCGCCGAGATATCTTTGCAGTTCTACAGCTCAGTCCGAGGTGCCGGGAATGGACAGGCCTTGCTTTCTGCCATCTTGTGCAGAGCAAGACGACAGCACACACTCCTGCAATCGCGCTCCTGCAAAAGCACCATACGCAGTTTTTAGCTTTCCCCTCCGCAGGCTGCCAGTTCGACAACAGGGGCACGCACAGGCCTTGAGAAGAAAGAGTGTTCTTGAGAGACGAGGTTCGACACGGCAAACGAGATCGGATGAGATAGGATGAAATACGCATTGATATGCATTGAATCAACCAGCAAAAGGTGCAACAGCTTTGAAGATGCGTTCTTTGAGAACAGTGTGACTTGTGCCCCTTCTAGGAGCCAGTCCTGAAGCTAAAGCCTCAGCGCGTCGGCCAACCAGGCACCAACTGACGTGGGACATTTGACAGTGGTAGTGCGTTGGTGCTGTGCTGCTGCATTGGTGCTGCATTGGTGCTGCATGAGTGCCATGTCATTCGTGCTGCATCAGTCTAGATGTGATTCCTGGGCTGTGCATTGAGGAGTTCGGCAAGCACTGATAATCACAGCACCAGCCCTCAGCAGGCTTTCCGTCGGCATTGTCGGCATTGCTCCAACGCGCAGCAATGTGGGTATTTGCGTATTGGCCCACAGGTGACGACGCTGCTGATCAGCAATGTCCCTACATACCTGACGCAAGGCAGCTCCGCCTTCATTGGAGACCTTTTTGTTGTTTGTGTGTGTGTGTGTGTGCGTGTATGTGTGTGTGTCATTGTGAGACAGAGAGAGAGAGAGAGAGAGAGAGAGAGAGAGAGAGAGAGATTTTTTCGTCGGTCGGCAAAGGTGCTCTCCTCTCCATGTTCGAGGACTTGCTTCGGCTCACTTTTTTTTGTTTTTCTTTTTCTGGCTTGTTTTTCGAGGGAGCGCCTGACCCGAAGTTGCAGGACCTGACGACTACCATGCGCGGAAACTTCGACTTCTTCTACTGCCCTTGGGACCACAAGGTGCCGACGGTGCCGTGAGCACATGTGAGCATGTCAATGCCCTGAAGGATCGGAGTTTTGCCATTCTGCCAGTCAGGCAGGGCACAACTTTGGCTACGCCTTGATCAACTTCACTGTCAGAAGCTGAGTCTGTGCGTGTGTGTGAGACTCGTGAGACTTGTGAGAATTGTGAGACTCGAGAAATGCCCTAAAAAAATCACAAAACCCGCAGGACGCTGGTCACGCGTCTGAGTTTCAACAAGGGTGGACCGGCAAGGCACGGCTTCGGAGTTTCTGCAAGTTTCTGCAAAATTCATTCATTCATGTAGAGCCATCTGTGAACTATCGTTTATTCCCCACATCTTTGGGGTTCGTACTTTTGGGGCTGTCACGCCTTCTCCTCCCTCCTCCTCCCTCCCTCCCTCCTCCCTCCCTCCTCCCTCCCTCCTCCCTCCTCCTCCCTCCTCCTCCCTCCTCCTCCCTCCTCCTCCCTCCTCCTCCTCCCTCCTCCTTCTTCGTTTTTCTTCCTCCTTCACCATGCACGCACCACATCATATGCACCAGGCACACGACACCCACACCATGCACCACGCACCACGCATCACACACTACCAAGACCACACACGACCCCATACGCACCACGCACCATGGCATGCACCATGCACCACATAGCACACACCCCGCGCGAAACGTTGGCAGGCGCAAACGTTGGCAGGCGCGACACAGGTGTCGTTTGTGCTGGCAGGCGCGGCATTCACTCGGGCCGCGTGGAACGTTGGCAGGCGCGACACGGGTGTCGTCTGTGCTGGCAGGCGCAGCATCTATAGGGGCCCTGGACCGGTGCCCCGCGCGCGCTCGGGCCGCGCGAAACGTTGGCAGGTGCGACACAGGTGTCGTTTGTGGTAGCAGGCACGGCGTTTAGGGGCCGTGGACCGGTGCCGCGCGCGCTCGGGCCGCGCGAAATGTTGGCAGGCGCGACACAGTTGTCGTCTGCGCTGGCAGGCGCGGCCTTTAGGGGCCCTGGACCGGTGCGGCGCGCGCGTTCGGGTCGCGCGAAACCCACGCACCATGGCATGCACCATGCACCACATCGCACACACCCCGTGCGAAACGTTGGCAGGCGCGACACAGGTGTCGTTTGTGCTGGCCGGCGCGGCGTGGCGTTTAGGGGCCCTGGACCGCTCGGGCCGCGCGAAACGTTGGCAGGCGCGACACGGGTGTCGTCTGTGCTGGCAGGCGCGGCATTTAGGGGCCCTGGACCGGTGCCGCGTGGCACTCGGGCCGCGCGAAACGTTGGCAGGCGCGACACATGCGTCGTTTGTGTTTGCAGGCGCGGCATTTAGGGGCCACTTCCGCATGCACTCACACGCACGCACTCACTCACACTCAAGCACTCACTCGCTCACTGTCTTACCCTCTTACCCTCTATCACTTCTCTACCCTTTGCGAAAAGATTTACTTTGCATGTGGGGTTATCCGGTCCTTTAATTGTTGCCTTTTTCTTCACAGGAGCTTTGTCGATCTGGACGTGGGCCCAAACCACTGAAAGTGGTAAAGGTGCTTCTGCAGTGCTTCAGCACATTTTCACGCCGGAAGGCACAAGCTCTTTTCCTTCTGCAAGGCATCACTTCAGGGTCTTCAAGCAAACGTCGCCTACTTTCAGCGCATCGAAATCGGTGGGCGGTGTCCGGACTGGCAGTGCTTCATGTTGACATGCAGGGCCCATGAGAAGGAAGCGGAGCATGTGGCGTCACGGGGCATCATGTGGCATCGCCTGCGAGGACATTCGCTTTCGACCTCTCTATCGCGATGATGAAGGTGACGCGGGGCAGGGTGGATCACCAACATTAGCCGTAGCATCTTGTATGGGCGGAGCAAAGTCAATGATATGTGAGTGTGAGAGCGTGTGAGAGCATGAGGCAGCCTGAAGCATCTGGCCAGACAGCCTGATTCCGTTGCAGCGGAGACTGAAGCAGTGACCGCAGAGGCGGAGGCCCCTCAACATGTGACATAGGGTTGTTTAAGTTCAACACCTCTTATACTTTGCAACACTGCCGTCACTGTTGCATCTGTTGCCATCACTTTGTGTGTTCCCCTTGCGCGAATCGGAGAGATGCATTGGAGAGGCCTTAGTGCTGGAGATTTCCCAAGAAGGACCATAAGACTGGGAGTGCCGTCTGTCCTTCTGCGCGATGAGGGGCTCCTGCTCTTCACGTTTCCTCTCCCCACGGGTAGTCACACATACGTTGCGCCGCTCCCTCTCGTTTCGTCCGTTGCGGATAGGTTGTACAAGCGACAAGCTCTTCTCGACAGTTTTGCAGGAGACGCTGGGACAGGCGCTTCCGTGAATGGGGCAGGCAAGCTTCACACTCTTGAGTACCGTCATTCGTCAAACCAGGCAAACCCTGTCTGGGAGATGCGACATTACATGGTGTTGCTCTGGCAGCTTTATGTGAGAGGTGGATCGAGTCTCAGCACGCTGGTTTCAGGTGGGGGTCTCAGGAATTGGCTCACGCTGTGATGGTATGCCGATTCACAACTGGAACTAATCACCGCATTATTCTCACGCTTATCATTTTGTTAAAGTTGGACGTCGGCACTGACAACCTGCTGCTATACCTCTTAGTTTTGAATGTATGATTGCTGCTGTGAAAAGCTTTGCAGCACCGACATAATCCTCAATCACAAAGTTATCATTATTTTCCCCAGTATCATGTGTCATTAATACAGTTGCCGATGGTTTTCAACATTCGATTCTAGAAGGAAATGAATGGTTTGCTGCACTTCTGCATGTTGCAACGCGCGATCACCCTTTATCTTTTAGCCATTCTTGTTTGGATGAGGCATCTCCCCCCACTTGTACGTTTAGCTGCGAAAGTGATCTGCTTTGAGAGGCTCGACCTTTCTGCCACCCCAGGATGACCGAGCGTCCGCAACGACCCAAGGGCCCCGAAGAACCCCCTTTTGGGGGCCCCCAAGCGCCGACTCCAGTGCCTTGGCCTCCGGAACCACTTATGCCACTTTCCCGAGGCCGATGGCACGCACAACGAAGAGCCGCGACGGCGCGGAAAGTATCGCAAGAGGAGGCGTCGCGATCAGATCACGTCCCACCTACACACCTGCAGCTTGGATCTGTCAGCTGAGGCCAGAAGCGGCCGCACCTTCTGAGACGCAGGTTCAGGCAGAGGCACGATGATGATATTACCATAGCGTAAGTGTACTATTTTGACATTCGCATGGGAAGCATTTCCTGCGAGGCTCATCGGCTGCGACCGCTGCAGCAGCCAAGCACCAAGACTTGTCTAGGACACGCTCTATCTCGGCACCTTGTTACACGTGCTTGTTGAAAAGTGGATCCATTCAGCATGGTAGGGCGTGGTTAGGAAAACTTAAAAAAGCTGATGTGTTTGTTGAGTGGGGGCAGCCGGTTTTAAATGCTTTTGCTCGCCATACCCAACGTCCGGCTGGCGTTGCGGGCATGAAAGAGAATGTGCACCGTGTGCTAGCCAGGTGCGTGGGCTGATTGGTATGTATATGCTCATGCTGTGAGAATCTGTGAGAGAAGTCGAACTAGCCACTATGTGATCTATGCTCCTATGTTGTGCTGGTTCCTGTTTCCGCTACCCGAGAACCCTTGGCTAGTGCTAGGGGTAGTGGGTACGGAGAGTGGAGCTAGTGTACGGCAGGAACAAAAAGGGAGCGCCCAAAGCACAACATATCACGCCTCACGCGAGTGCCAAAAGCGTGTGCGTCACATTTTCCGTCGCTCCGCTGTCTAGTCTATTTCGTGAACCATGATTCTGTAGATTATTCTCAGTTGTTAGCTGAAAAATTGTGTCGGGGCTGATGAGCAGATTTGCGACATGCCCATTGCAAAAAACCGACGCATGGCTTTGGCAGCACTCGCATCGCTTGAGTGCAATTTTTGTTGAGGCCTTTGCCACGGAAGCCTGTTTCAGGCAGAGGGAAAAGGAGATGACATTGTTACAGCGATTGAGTAGACATGTTGTTCACTCATGCCCCAGGTGTGGAAGCACAGGAATTACGACAGCTTTCGCTGCAGCAGCAGCAGCAGTGGCCTGACGGCATTTCGTCGCACCAGGGCCCGTTCGCTGTTTACAGTGGCTGGGCAGGCAAGTCTTGAAAATCATGGAGCACCATGAGGAGGAGTCAGAGCGGCATTGCCACCCCATTCTTTGCTAAAATGTGTTTGATTCCGGTTCGTCGGACAGTTTGTCCGACTGTACGCTAATGCTTCCCATCGTTGACAGAAGTGGTTGCCCATGCCGTGCTGGCAAAGTTCGGCAACTCAGCTGCCTGTTTCAGCCAAACCCAATCAGCTAAACAGCTAAACAGCGCGTCGCTGGCGCATGGGAGTGTAATCGTAGAACTGAAGTCAGCTTCAGGAGATGAAGAGGAAACAAATGCAGCAGCGAGAGGTGGGAGACCTGCTCCAAGACTGCGAAGTGTTTTTGTGTTTGCGTGTTCATGCCTCCTGTCGCTCTTGGACGAGCTCTACGAATATCGGACACATTGCTGAAGTTTGTGCCTGTAGGAGCGCCGTCCTCCCGTGCAAGTTCAGAGCTTCTTGCCTGCTGCCAAGATCTGCCAAGCACTACCACTGCACAGTCTCCAGCTGTTCACCATCAGAGATCGAGAAAGAGACTCTGAAGGTCCAAAGATCCTGGAGGTGTGCTCCGGGACCTTGAAGCCACCATGTCGCTACCTGAGCCATCAGGAGTTGCCCGTGTGCTCTTTGTGATCTCACGTTGAAAACCATTCTCCTGTCCCGCGGGTCCACCATGCAGGTCGCCGCAACTTCAGGTCATCCAAGCTCAGCAAATTCAGTCACTTTGGCATGACTTGAGAATGCTTGAAACTGCAATGACGAGCGTGGCTGCACATTTTCCAAATTTGTGTTTTTGTTTCAGATGCGTATATGTCAGCGTCGTAGCGTGTGCGTTAAAATTGGATATGTTCTGTTCTGGCTTTGTGCCACAGGCTTCTGGCAGCTCAACAGTGCCGCTGTTGCACTGGTGCACACATCGCCATTTTTATGGCTACCTTCATGCTCATGCGCGTGTTGAGACTTGTCTAGTGAGGCAGCTGCTGCAGCGCCTTGGCTACGCATTGGACAGGGCTTGCGGAGTCTGCTCTGATGCCTTGACCGGCGCAAGGCAGATGCGGCAGTCCTCGCCCGCTTGGCCAACCTCTAGTGCTGTTCTGAGCTTCCTGAGCTTTCTGAGCTTTCTGAGCTAGCAGCAGAGCTTCGCAATCTCGCACTCCCCGCGGCTTCCGGGCTTGGCGGCCTCGCTACATCTTGTGTAATCCGTCTCAAGCTCCGTGAAATGCGCCAGGTTCCACGTTGCCCTTCCAAGACTGCGGGCCTTCCGAGGATTCCTGACAACTAGAATGTTCTTGCTCCGGTACATTGTATTTCATGGTATACATCGTTTTGATTCTTCATTTTGACAGGATTTGCCACCCTTTTCTGTCCCATCGGGAGCCGGGCAGTAACGGACCCAGACGGTCTTGACGTTTCGTGTTCGGTGCTATCATGTACAGTGTTGGTCCGGGTGCTCTCTGTGCAAGGTACCTGGTTTCACGCGTCCCTTCCGAGATGCACGAGAGTGTGAACATGGCCTTGTACATGGCAAGCCAGACTGTGAGGTCCTTACTAGTGGCTCGAACTCGGCTGTTCCAAAGTTTCGCTGAGCTTGGAGTGAAGCTGACATATGGTTTTCTTTCCTGAGATGTCGACAAATCCGCAACTCTCAAGTGCCGCGGGCCAGGCCAACTGCCTTCGAACTTACCTTGCCTTGTGTGCTCTTCTTGTGTGCCCCATGTGTGATGTTGTATACCAGCTTTCACAGATCTTCGAAAGGTGCCGTTGGCAATGGAGAGGCAACGCAGCGTAGGGACTCAAGGCTGGTTACTTGTACTTGTTGGAAAATGAATGTTAAATGGTGCCGTGTGAAGGTGCAGGGACCCAGCAATCCATGCAAATGGTATCCGACCTCAGCCTATTCAACCTTTGAAGCCTTTGCCTTTATGATGTTCAGACTTGTGTGTTTGACAGTTCGACACGCTTGCAGCCGCGACGCTTGTACATTGCCCTGCAATCTGAAATGGGAGTTGAATCTGAAAGTGCTCATGAGCCCGACCCTTGTGACCCTTGGCATTATGACAGGGCCTTCAGCTTTAAGAACTTGAGGCCCCCGCCATGAGCAGATGCACAGAGGTAAAGCGGCGTAAAGCGGGTGATGGCTGAAGACCACGAGCTTAGGAGGCTCAGAAGCTCGCAGCATGCACCACTTAGCATAGCTAAAGCATACTCTGTAGCTGTTTTTGAAATACAATTGTGCACTGTCCGAGAGCGCGCACTTGTTTGGAACGGGTGGGAACTGTGGCAAAGTCTTGCTTCCCTGGCCATGGAGAGGGGTTTGCCGGGGTTGCCAGCTCAGGGACAAATGGCACAGGCGGCACTTAGCAGAAAGGAGATGAAATCGTCGTCGTTTTTTGGCTGGCTCAGGCTCGAGGCTTTCCTCGGCCTTTTGTTGGGTTTGCCTTCTCGAAAGTTGCAGCAGGTGTCTGCAGGTGCATGGACAGAGCATGGACAGAGCTGGTATCTGAGGTCCCCTACATGATGTTTCCGGTTCAGGCTGGACGAACAAGTGCGTGTGCGCCGTGTCACGTGAAGGCATTCTGCATGGTGCCTAGGCTTTTCCCATGACGTCAGATGCGCAGCAGCGTTCAGCAGGCCATCCCATCTGTTGAGGTCGAACGTAGCGTGCACGCGACCACAGATGCCATCTGTTCATTGTTGACTGTCGATGTCGACAGCATGATCTCATGATCATTATGTCGACATGCATCAGGCGCAGGCCTCTCGGGTCCTACCTGTGGAGGACTGTCACTGCTGAGCACGGATGAAGTCTATACGGCCCCTGCCCTAAAAAACTCATGCAAGCCATGTGACAAAGTCGAATCGCGGGAAGGGTTTCAACATCTTTGGAGAGTGAATATCGGCCTCCATGAGCTGAGGACTGATGTACTGCACCTGTTGATGCACATTGTGCTTCCTCAGGCATCAATATCCACTGTGGTATGCAATGTGTGTTAGCCTCGTGATGCATCAGGTGCGATGTGAGATGGAACCTGGCCATGTGTCGTCCAGCACGAAACCGCCGCAGAGCGCTCGCTCTAGCACCCTGCTGGGTGGGCCGATTTCCATTTTCCGTACCGGGCATGGTTCCCCGACACCCAGACAGCTTGGCTGTAGTGTGGCACATCTGCCCATCGTTGTCGAGAGCATGCGCACACTGTATTCAGATCCGTGATGTACATGCCGGCAGCTGTGCACATGTAGAGACTGAATAAAAGTGGCAAGGCCGCCAGTTCGCAAAAGTCTTTGAAGAGGTGGCCAGCAGACCGGCGGCTCAGGGATCCGACTTTTTTGTTGTTTTTTTGCCGCTTCTTTTCTCTTCTGCACAAAAATACAGCATGAACAGTTCTTCTCAAGTTCGTGCTGCTACCAGTCTACCAGTAAGTGTGTGTCTTTGCAGCCCCCTGTTGGGGCAAGGGCCGCATCAGCGGCCAAGGATCCCGGCCACTCTTGTATTTCGGTGTACCCACAAGTGTTTGATTTGGGTGCATGCTGCACCTTGTGTGGTCAAGAGACCAGCGAAACATTCATCCTGCTTCCCCTTCTTTGTTGGAGCATTCGGAGCTCTGGTCTGCACAGTGGCGCACTGCAAGAGCGATGGGAGCATTCTAGGTCCCGGATGTACAAACTCTAGAACTGTATGGTAGAACCGTGCCGTGTGGGCCAGGCCCTTAGTGGCCGTTGTTCGAGCCTGTGCAACTTTGCTGGCTTGCAGACCCTGGACAACCTCCAATGCAGAATACAGAACACTTTGGAGAACATTTGTTCTGGGTATGCGCTAGTGCGCTTTGAGTGCGGGCTCCGATCATTCAGATCAGACCAGTGCCTGTGTACACGCAGCACTGTTGATCATCCCATGTGATCCCAGATGCCTTCGCAACACTCACAATCATTTGTGCCGTTGCAAGGTGGTTCTGCTGTTCACATGAAAACAATATTGCTGCCAGCTGAAGAGCCACATGAGAATGCATCTTTTTACTCTACAAGTGTCTACTCGGCACTCACGTAGAGCGGTTGAGACTGGCTGCTCAGATTCGGCAGACATTAGCAGAGTTTGGGGCGTCATCCCATGTTTCAAGGGCACAGAGTGCAGTCGGAATTTGCAGGCATGGCAGGAAGTGCTGTGTTCATTTTTCCGTGAGCCAGGACACATAGGCCCACAAGCTTATCTTGACTCGGTCTTGACAACATGAGTAAAGCCAGTATAGCTTTGCATGGCCTGCGTAATCCTGCATGGCCTGCATGATCCGGCGACGTATGTAGACCAATGTAGACTGAAGGTCGGTCAGACTGCCAGAGTTGGCCGCAGATAGCACGCCGAGATGCCACATAATGCTGGTGATCCATGCAGGTGAGCCCATGTCCTGTGAAATACACGTGGCCTGTATCCCCCGAACCGTTTGGTGCAGGGATGTTGCTTCATGTCGGGATTCGATTATGACGTGAGGGTTGTGCCTCTGAGCAGTGCGTGCGGTGGCTGCTACAGTACTTGCTGGTTTCATGGTTCTTTGCGGGCGAATTGAAGGGAAAGAAGCGCCATGAAGCGCACAGAGTAGTTATGAATGGCAAAATTGGCGCATAACTGCAGTGCCGCGCGAAGCTTCAAGGACAAGGGGCAGCAGTGGAAGGCATCATTTGATGTCAGGGCCTGCATTGGCTGTCACAGCCACGCCATCTTCCGACACCAGGAACAAAGACAAAGACATGGAGTTGCACGTGCAAAGGAGGTATAGGTACGATGTCATGGTGTTCTGTGGGAAGAGCCTCCAGCAATCAGCCTGATGGAGGCTTGGCAGCTTCAGGTTTTCCGGCGTTTTTCTGTGAACGACTGCCCCAGGGATCCGTGGAAGAAGCACTTTGTGCAGCGCGGTGGAAGGCTGACTCTACAACCTTCTAGAAGCTAACATGTAAATCCGTAGCAAAAGCTCTTCCCAGGATCTCCACACACAGGCATATCTGCAGTGGTGATGAACACTTGGGGATGCCGAATTAATGAGGGTGTCAAGTAGACTTGATTCACAACGACTTAGGTAATGAGGGCTTGTTTTGAAGTACCATCTCACCTGCAACAGATGAGCAGGGTTGTTGTTTCGTACATACACGCACGCTTGTAATTGGCAAAAGATGGCAAAAGCCACGCTGTTGGAGAAAGCTCGCTGGTCATGTCACATGAGGAGCAGGTGCCAGCACATTCTTGTGCCGCTGTCGCTGACTTTGGCACATCTAGCTGAGGTTGCACGTTGGCGACATGTTGACGCGCAGTACTTGCAGACCACAGCTAGGCTTGCATGCTGCGCCGAGCAGCACTTGAATTTCCAAGCTGATGGGGACCCTTTCGGTGAGGTCCTGGAGGGTCCTCTATGGCTATTGTAAGAGCATGTAAGAGCCACATGGTGCCATGGTGCTTTCAATCACTTGGCATCTGGCCATGTCATGGTGATGTTTTGCCATGGCGATGACAGCGAAGTCGTCTGATAATGAACTTGACCTGGCATCCTTGACACGGACTTTGGGGCAACTGAATGAAGAAGTGCATTCATCGCGCGTTGGAGTGCTGGATGCTGTTCGATCGCGTGGTGCCGAGTTCTCGGCAGCGTCTGACCAGGTCAATCAGTTGCAGCGTCGAGTCACGGACTTGAACAGGGATCTTGGAATCAGCGAAAAGCCACTTCCGCCACTTCCGCCACTTCCGCCACTTCCGCCACTTCCGGCACTGGCTTTGGAAGCCGGGGGTGTGCAGCGGGAATCGGAGAAGCATGGGGAGCTCAGTGTACAGCTATCAGAAGTTGACGATGCCATCGAAATCCTTGCAGCTCTTCTCGAGACCAGAAAAGGCCTTCTTGGGGTGGAAGGCTTGCTCGCAAAATGCAGATTCACAGAAGCCGCTGACCTGTTGCAGATTGTCGCTGCGTCCTTGGCACAGGTCTCTGCACCGATGGGTGCGGAGCCAAAGATGATCCAATCGGTGAAGGCCGAGTATTGCACGTTGCGACATCGCCTGGTTTCTGCAATCGATGCGAGGTTTCATGAGCTGATCGGGCTCGGTCCCTCCGAAGAAGTTGCGAGACAGGGCAGAAGCCAAGCAAGTTCTGAAGGGACAACACTTCCGGAGGTTTGGAGCCTTTTTCAGGTCCTGGGCCTCCGGAACCGACGCTTGGATCATCTTTCCTTGGAGATAAAGCAGAAGTTGCTTCGACCACTCCTGGCTGCTGGATCGAGACTCCCACCTGGCCGCCGTCTGACTTTAAACTCAGATTTCTCAGACGGCATGTCCTTCGCGAGCTTCGCGTGGAAGGAAGAGGATTTCGACCAAAACGACGACTTTCGAGACCTAGCGCAAGGAAGGCCCCAAGCTGCGGCGGTGCTGGGTCCCCTGGAGGACCTCCTGGAAAAGCAGATCCTCCACTGGGCCGGAGCGCTCCCGGAGGCCGGCCCTGGCGGCTGAGAGCCAAAGGGGGGCCCCAAGGTTTGGGTTCGGTGAAGTTTGGGATTCTTCGAGACTTCCCAGCATTTCCCAGCGATCCCTCAAAGTCGCGCGCTGAAGCGTTATGGCGGAGAACAGCTCCCCCTCCCCCCCCGGCCCCCCACTCGTCCGCTTCTTTGCATTTTCTCTGAGGTCTTCGTTTCGTGGTCGTAGACTCCTTTTGTTGCCTTGTTTTTCATGACCGCATCACAAAATTTTTGCATTTTGCTGCATGTTGCTTCACGTGTAGGTCTATGCGGCCTTGGGCTCTCGGCTGTATTTTCCTGTTGCCCGACAGCTTCTCAGCCCCTTGGCCTCTCGGTGTGGCACGTCAGGAACGCTTCATCTTCGTGAGTTCTGCGTGCGTCTGAAGGCCAGTTTGAGGTCTACGAGCTTGATGGGGGCCATGCCGTCCAGCAGTTTGAGAGTCGTCTTCAATCGCGAGGCTGTTAGAACACTCTGTGCCCCCCGATAGAGCCGACAGAGTTTCGAGCTGCCCAAATGACGCCTCGCAGGTTTCATACGCTCGTCTGAGAGTCCACTATGGCGCCATGTTCACCACCTGCGGTTTGCGAAAACCTCAGAAGCCCGGAGTGGAAGCGTGAACTATGTTATCGTACCTGTGGCCATAGGTTCGGCAGCTCAAGGTGGGCAGAGACACGTTGAAGAAGCATTGGCATGTGCTTTGCCATCAACGGGGTGTTGGCCATCAACGGGGTGTTGCAACCATGACAGGGTTTAGGGAACAGCCACGACAACAAATGTTATGATGCCCCCTGTGCCCCGGACTGCTTCTTAAAAAAGCAGCCACGACACCACGAAACACCGTTGGACTCGTTTGGGCAAAGGCTACTCTGCCAGGCTGATGTGGAGATCCACAATCCAAGACCCTTGTTGCAATCGCATCGCAAAACAACAACTGCCTCAACCATACCAGGCTCCAACCGATTGCTTGTAGATCGTAGATGTTCGCCTTGTCGTGATGTTGCTGTCGTGGTCGTGTTTCTTTCTGTCGCGGGTCCAGCTGCTTGTCGGACGCAGGGTGGTCGTGGGTACGAAGGTTCAGGGCCCCCACTTCCCAGTTCGCGAAGTTGGCGCGGTGGAGGGGCTTTGTCCTCACGAGCGTACGAAAGGACCGCAGCACTTGCTTCAACCCGTGACGGGGGAATGTTTGCATAGGCATAGTCTTTGTACTGGGGGGCAGAAGCAAAAGGCGCCTGTCTGTCCACGCCAGTATCACTCGGTCCCCGATAAACAAGGATGCCCAGAATACAACCCCCTAGCTCCGTAACAGAGAACAAACAAAGAGTTTGAGGGACGCGCTTCGGCATAGGGTATGTGTTCCTGCAAATCGAAGAGAACAATCTTCCCGCCTCGTGTGATTGAGGCGAAGGAGGAAGCTTCGCGTGCCTCTGTTCTCGTCCAAGCGAAGACGTGGCTTCAGGCGGAATTTCGACCATGCGAGACATGCGGAGTGAAACATGCAGAAATGCGGAGTGAACAGAATGCAGAGTGTTACAGTGCCAGGAGCCCGCAGAATTGGCCCGTCCGGCGTGTTTAAAGCGGGTCGGAGTCGTGGGGTGCCTGTGGGCCCCGACAATTCTGTAGTGATATTTGCAGCGCAGTAGGGTGTCTGTGCTTTGTCCGAACCTCGAAGGGGAACGTGGTTGGGCCCCTTCTGTGCCAGTGGGAAGGTCCACGTGGATGATGCTGCCTTCCATGATGTGATGCGGCTCGGCAAGTGGTCTGGCACGACGTCGCAGGGCAAGTCACAGGCGCCTCGTTCTTACATGTTCTTACATGTTCTCACACATGACTGGGGTGGGCTTGCTTGTTTGACAGCGGCTGGATACTGCCTGCCAAAGGTTCAATCGAAGCTCGATCTCGATCAAGACAGTGGTCTGGGCCTTCTTCATCTCCCGTCCATGAAGGCCTGCATAGGCCTTTGCGTGCTGTAGAGGCTGCGTTGCAGCAGGATGCGTCAGGGGACGACATTGCTGTTCCGCTGCCCAGACATCTCCAGACGTGCCCCGTCATGTCAGAGGTCTCATCCGTGCTGCTGCGTCTGCTGAGGCACACATGTGGGCAGCAAATCATGAATTCTGTATGCGACGGAAGTCAGTTGAGGCTTTTCGTGCATTTTTTTGAAGAACTGCGCAGGTGCGTCTGCGTATATCTTGGCCACATCTCGCATGTTGCGCAGGTGCATCCTCACCTCAATGGAGGCAGCACAAGACGCACGGGATGATTCTTCAAGAAAAGAGACGCTCGATCTCGTGCGGCGGCTCTGCGTGCTGTTTGCACTCGTGAGGCAGGGCTCGTCACGTCTTTCTTGCAGTGTTCTTGCGGACTCACGCAATGTCAAATGCAATGCTGCAAGGCCTCACGTGCATCAGCTCAAAGTGGATGCAAAGCTCTGTTCCATCTTCATGGCGGACCTCCTCTGTTTGGCTCACATCCTCATCCTTCTGCCTTCCTGGCCGATGTGCCATGCCATGACTCGAGCTATGACTTGGATATGATCTGTGTTGTGGCTTTATGTGGCTTTTCTTGGGAACACATCTTTGAGTCTTTGAGGCCTGACCCGCCCTTTGCGTTGGACTTGGTGCCCCAGCTCCGGCAGCTGGGCGAACGACATTTCGGCGCCATGCTGCGACACCACAAGGAGCGATTTGGAGCGATAAAGTGACATAAAGTGACCCCAAGGGGACCCAACGCAACTTTCATGCGGTTTCTAGTCTGATCGAAACTCGTGTACCGCAGTACGTAGGCACCCCTAGGTTGAGAGACGCAAGCCACCTGTTCTTTCCTTGTTCGCGAAGTCCCGTGCGCAGTACTGATTTTTTATGTGCTTGGGAGGACCAGCTCCTGTCCGCTTTGCGGCCTTGCAATCTGGGCCGGGGCGCGGCGGAGGGTGCGGCCTACATCGCCACGGAGGCGGCCCTGGGCGCGGCTGCGCAGCAGCTGAAGGTCCACTGCTGTCCACTTCTGGACGCAGTTGAAAAAGTCTCTGTTGCACCCACCCAGCCCCAAATGTTTCCCATCAAGTCCCCCAACTCATCCCCGTCCCAGCCCAACTCCCCATACCATGACAGACCCCCACTCCGCACAAAGCCCCCTCAACAGGTGTTCTGCAGTGGCGTTTCAGCTCTGCCTGCCCAGATCCTCCAGGAGAGCGTGCTGCTGCTCCTGGGCGTCTTTTGCAAAGAGCTTGTGCGGATGCACCTGGAGGCTGCCGAGGCTGCCGAGCCTTTGTCCAAGGTCTCAAAACCGAAGGAGTTGAAGGTCGATCTGGCCGCTGGTGTTGGCCGTGTTGTTGGCGTGGGCGGCCGTTTGCTGGAAACCTTTGCAGGTGCAGCTGGCGTGGGCGGCTCTGGCGACGATTTTCGAGAAGTTCTAGCGGGACTCAAGGGAGATCCTCGAGTCCCAGACCCGAGTCCGACGGAAGTATGGGTCCTGGATGGAGAAGATGTGTCGAGCGTGATATCGCTTTTGACCTCCGCGCAAGCGATGGTGCGCCAATGCCTACAAGCCACAAGCCTTGCTAGTGCTGCGGGTGTGGAGGACCAGGCCTGGCTGGAACAAATAACAGCAAGCCTTTCAAAATAACGTACGAATACCTGAAGTCGTCAGAAGACAATTATACAATCTTACTCAATGGCTACCGCCAGTGCCGAGCCCCACAGATGGCGTCTTCCACCGGAAGCGGTTGGGGATGCACTGGAGCCCTTTGAAGACTCTGCCCTCAGTTGCTCTCAGCAATGCCCAACCCGTTCCCGCTCTCCCCGCCCTCCCTGCCCCCTCCTGCCCTCCACCCTTGGGTTGCGAGCCTCAACCCAATGGCATCAGCTTGGACCCCAAGGGTTGGGGATGCACTGGAGGTCTTTCCAGACTCTGTTCAGATCACTGGGCACCGTCCCAAGAGGGGGTTGGCGGATAATCGATCATTCGCATCGTTGCTGCAAGGTCCCGGGCTACCCCGTGCTTCAAATCGTGACAGACTTGCTGGGCTCCGATTTCTCTCGCTTCCTGCAAAGCCGCAAGAGGATTCTGACACCCGCACCAACTTTCCGCTCACTTTTGACAGCTGCTCCCCTGCCCACCCCTTGATGCAACTTATTGTTGTGCTAAGAGCAGCCTCAGACCTTGAAGGCTTGAAGGGGTTCGGAACAGAGAACTGAATAATCTGGTTTCTTGAACTTCGATGAATCGAACGATTGATTCACTCTGGGGTGGTAGCGATTCGATTCATGTGATTTCATGTACAGCTAAGGAAAGCCATGCAGCGGGACGAGGTGATCCGGTTAATGAAGTTGAGCTGGCAGGACGAGGAGCGAACACATCACACGTGGCAAAGCGCACGTCCGGGACCAGGGCTGCACCCCGTGCGCTGCAATGTACGGTATTTGTTCCCCACCTTCCATGTGGGGTTGTTAGATTTTGAACTCAATTTTCTCCTCGCCCGGAGCTCTTCTCCTCGCCCGGTCTACCCCTAGAGACTCCCTGGAGTGCCCAGCCCCAGAGACCTCTCTGGAGTGCCCAACCCCAGAGACTCGCTGCCCAACCCCAGTGTCTCCCTGGAGTGCCCAACTTCAGAGACCTCTCTGGAGTGCCCAACCCCAGAGTCTTGGAGTGCCCAACCCAGAGACTTTCTGCAGTGCCCAAGACACTGCCGGAGTGCCCAACCCCAGAGTCTCCTGGAGTGCCCAACCCCAGATTGGAGTCAGACTTGCTAGAGTGCCCAAGAGACTCCCTGGAGTGCCCAACCCCAGAGACCCCCTGAAGTGCCCAACCCCAGAAACTCCCTGGAGTGCATAATGCCACAGTGTTCCTGGAGTACCTAACCCCAGAGTGTTCCTAGAATGCCCAACCCCAGAATATCTCTAGCCAGAGAAGGTGGGGATGTTCGAAGTAAGATAATTCGTTTCATACAGTTTTTCACTCGGCTGGGATTTTGGAAAACGTGTAACATGCAAGCGCAGGCTCTAACGATGGAGGAGGCCTGGCGCGTCCTGACAGCCGGCTGACGAAAAAGCATGTTGCATGGAAGCTGCGCCTGATTGCGTCTGAGTGGCAGCAAACAGTTGCTGGGTTAGCTGGTTTCTCAAACATGCCTCATGCCCCCATCTGCAACCACCGGCTGTTCAGTCAGTGAATTCACAACATTGCAGCCTTATCTTACGGGAGTTCCTAGTTGTTCAGACCTCAAGCGCCCTCGCTCTCCTACATTGCTCTCTCATAGAAATGCCAGAAGGCAAGTCATAACTTACGCACTCTTCGGGCCAACCTGTGACAGTTATCTGCCGGTGGTGTGCACCTGCCGGTGTTTCTTTGAAGCATGGGCGCCTCCCATCATGTCGTGGAGGTGGACATGCTTCTCGGTCGAAGTTTTGTGGAGAATAGGACAAGCCGAAGAACGACGCCTTGGGATCGTGTTTGCCACTGTCTCGAGCCAGCCGATGCGACGTGCACGTGTGTGCTCATTCAATCTGATTCAAGTCTCTGCTCATCTGCGAATTGAGAAGCAGCTTCAGGTTCTTTGCTTCTGGTGGATCTATGGCGAGGCATACAATGCATGAGCTGCTTCTCCGAGATTCAATTCGGCTGGTGTGAGCCAGCTGGAGCAAAGCATAAGCAGTTTTTTTCCTGTCGATCAATACCAAACCCGACATGCTTCTCTGGGGCCATGTGCGATGATCAGGTACAGTCAAACGGACCCCAATGCAGCACCAAGTTGTCCCGATGCTTGACCGCCTCAGTCCTTCTTTCAAGCTCACGGCTCCGAAGTGGCTTAGCTTGGGGATTTGCAGCACTGTTTTGGGGGCTGTCGCTGGCCCAGGAGTACATCTTCTCAATCGCTGGATTCCAAAGAAAGCTGGACAGCCATTATAATGCCGGAGGACGACCACCTTTGCTGGAGGCTTATAAACTTTCGTCACTATGTTGCTTGAGCGTTAACGTTAATTCAAAATTCCTGGCACAGGCATTCTTCTTGATGCGGCTTCACCAGGACACCACATCCCCATGACTCGATATCCCCTCCCAATTTCGATGCGCAAGATTCGTGCTCGGTTTTAACAAGCGGAAGCGGCGGAAGCCCTGGAGGATTACAAACAGGGCCTGGTGGATGCCGACTGCCCGAACCCGCTCATTCTTGCCCTGCTGCTGCTCGAAGGAACGGATTGGCTGCAGCTGTTAATTGCCATCGGTAGCACGGAGAGCGTGTTGTGTTTCGCTCGTTACAAGTAGTCGATAGGCGTCACATGTCTCTCTTCGCGCTCCTCTCTGAAGTCAGAACTGAGAGCCTTCTGCCCATGTTTTTGCTTCTCGGTCTGTTTTCTGCTGCTTTGTTTCTCCCGTGTCTGTCTCGCTAATTGTCTCCGCCTCACCGTCACCCTGCCTCTCCCTTTGCCCCTCGACAACAGAGCAACATAGTAACACGGTAACACGTATCACACACACACACACACCTAGCTGCCTGAGTGACTGCAAAGCAATGCGTCGCGGCGGGCGGTGGGCGAGGTCGGCTACTGCAAAGCTAGGGCGATTCCAAGCAAATGGGCGTGAACTCGCATCCAGCTGGGTACGCTCCAAAGTAAAACTGTGGCTGCTGTGCTAAAGAGAGACCGGGTATCGTCAAGCAGCAGGAGGTCCGAGAGGCTTTCCTGTCGAGCTCGGCCGGTGGTGGTGCTGCTGGGACCAGCATGACATCCTCTGGCAGAGTCGTCGGGAGAGCATGAGTTGGACTTGAGAGGGTTGCCAGCCAGAGAGCCATCTGGTCACAGCTTGCACTCAGAGCACGGCGATACCATTCGTGTGAGACACTGGCGCAGCTCCTCGCTTGTTCACCACGGAACCGCTTAGCAGCTTTGTGCGCCGAGTCGCCACATGGATGTTTGGCGCCGCTTCGCACTGTCAGTTGAACCAGGTGAAAAAGACAGAAGGACTGACGTGCTCAGCCCGCATTCTTGGCAAACCGACCAGGACGCCGCGGTTCGTGCCGCATTGGCCTAGCCTCGGCGCAGCACGAGGTGACGCTTCACCGTCCCGAAACAGCGAGCTAGAATAAGTGCGCGGCGGCATCATCGATAGATGGTAACGCCAGCTGCAAAATAGAGCAGATAGGCCACTTGACTTGTTTTGCGTGGCAAACTGCCAGCTGCACGAAATTTGTTGCGTACAACCAGTTTGCTGCTATGCGAGCTCGACGCATGTGGAGGTGGTTCGGATGCAGATCGGGCCATGCCGTCTCAGATGCCTCACAACGTGCGATGCATCGTCTCTCTTTCTGCGCCGCCCTGCAATTCACTGCAGCAACGTACTCTCACAGACGGCTGTACTTGCGCGATAGAACCTCCGTAAGCTTTGCGCTGCATGTTTGCGTAGTAATTATCGTGCAGGTAACAATCGTTGCTGTGAGGAAGCTTTGTTCATCCTTTGAAATGGGGGGTCGAACTTGCAAAGCTGAGGCTTGTGAGCGAGGTCCAGCTTCAGGCTCCGCCGTGGCATGATTTGGACAGAGGCTTCGCGCTTCTCCGGAGCCCGAGTGACGACGTGATGCACGACTTTGTCCAGGCCATCTCCGAAGAAGGCGGGCCGGTGCTTCCAAATGCAACATTACAACTTTCTACGTTGCCTGGATCGACTTTCGCAGGACGGGCGTTTCATGATGTGGGTCTGCGGCTTGCCAAGGAGGCATGGAATCCAGGCAAAGCTAACCGCTACCCCAAGTCGGGATGTGAAAACGGTTGGGCGCCAGGCCTCGCCTTTCCAACAGCATCTGATGGCCTCGGCACCGTCGGCCTGGCCGCTGCGCAAAGCCTTGAAGAGGGTTCAGGTGCTCCGCTTGGATATGTTTGGAGTCTGTTCATCCTTTCAGCATCCTTCCACTCACGATGGCGTGTGCAAGGTGGCGCAGGACCTGTTGGGGGATGCGGTTCCACGTGCCGTGGCAGCGGTGCTCTCTGGCGGCCAGGCGCCGTGCGCCACTGTGCTGCCAGGCCAGGGTTCAAACCAATGATTTGGTCTTTCTTCTACGTAAGAGCCCCCACACAAGGTGCACCAGAGATTGGTGAACATTTTCCCCATTTCCCCGTTTGCATTGAAAAGCCTCTCTCTCTCTCTCTCGACAGTCGCGGTGTGTGTGAGTGTGTGTGTGTGTGTGTGAGACCGTCGGACAGGAACCGTCATGTCGGAGCCAAGTACGTTGAGCACGGCATGTTGGGACAGCCCGGCTGGGAGCTCGGCAAGGACCGCAGTGCCCGAATCCGCACTAAGGCCTAAGGCTGCGGGGAACTCCCTGCTCAGTATGTGAATAGTTGGGTCTGCTGCTTTGCAACATGCTGTGCAGCACGCAAGAAGGGTTGCCCGAGCACCGGGAAATCGTTCGGTCGTGGAACATCGTCCTTGTTCCGCAGGCTGGACTTTGTGGTGGCTCACTGCAAGGAGCCTCTGGACTGGTTGCAGACCAAGCTGCAGCGCGTTCCTCCAAGCTCCAGGCTGGGTTGCGTTTATCTCTTTATTCGGCTTTGTTCAGCGTCGTATTAGCTTCAGTTTGCCATTCAGTTCGATGATTCTACCTTCTCAAGTGCTTCTTCATTGTTTGTTTCGGTCAGGCTTTTCATTTACGAGAAGTGCGGCACCTCGACGGACCCGGGGTCCGTTGCAGCTGGGAAGTTTCAAGCGGTGCGTGTGGTCTCGCGGCCGGACATAGGCTGGGCCTTTTTTGAGGCAGTATGTACGACTCTTTTTACTCAGTGGCTCAACAGCTTTCTTCCTTTTCTTGTAAGAAACCTACGTGTTTGGGCAGCTCGCTTGTGGGCTTGGAGCTTCTCCGTAGGAGCGGCACGTGGTGATGAGTGCTCGGCGTACTTGACCCACATCCTGGCGAACTACCATGATCGCCTTGCTGACTTTACAATCTTCCTTCAGAGTGACCCGATGGATCACTTGCACATGGACTTCTTGGACCTCGTGCTCAGGCAGTGAACAGCTGCAGCTGAACTAGTCACGGATGCTTCAAGGGCTTGTGATCTTGATGCTTGTCAGGAGCATTGCAGCCGGCACCTATGACGTGGGGTTTCTTCCTTTGAATGGTCCTCGCCATGTACGAACGCTGACCCCGTGCCTGCAAGCTGTCCATGAAGAGATCTTTGGCGAGAACCTCACGGCTCTTGTAGGCTGCAATTCTGCAACTGATTTGCCTTTTTTTTTTCTCCCCCGTTCCCTATTGGGCTCTCTTCAGGACCCTGCACCACCCCTGCATAGTGCCCTTGGCAGGGCCTTATTGCTGCGCCCAGTTTGCGGTGTCCCGGGAGACGGTCCACCAGCGCAGCCTGGACCCGTGATGTCCAAGATAGCGGATATGGCACGGTAGATCAAACATAAACCTCAGGAAAACGTAAGGTAATGCTTTGGGGGGGATGCAAAACGTCACAGGCCACTTTGTCCTGTCCCTTTCAGGACTTCTATGGTCGAATGTTAAGCTTGGTCGATGGATCCAGAGACGTTGACCTATGTGGTGTGGAGGGCACAAAGCGGAGTACGCAGTGCTACGGCTTCGAATTCCTCTGGCATGTAGCCTTGCGCCTAGTGATCGGGGAGATTCGGGGAGCTTGCGCGAATTTCCATGCAGAAAGTGACAGTTCCAACTGCCGGGTGAAGCATTTTCTTAACGTCGATAACGTCGAAGGTCTTTGGCCAGGAAGTCGACCCACCCAGCCGGGAAGACGACATGCGCCTGCCTGTGTCACTGCGCTTAAAGCATGGCAAGGACAGCAGCCTTTAGTTGTCAGCAGGAGAAGACTTGGATGGGTCACGGTGCGATGAGAGGTGTTGGTTCATGGATGTAAAGAGGATGATTCTGTGTTATCTGTGTGCTTTCAAACGTTGTTTTGCGCTGTCTCGAGGAGCATTCTCGGCTGAACTGGGTTGGAATGCCCCTTGCCCGTGACATCCCGCTGAAGCTGGTACCAGACGACGAGCATGGCAACCCGATGTTTGGAGCAGAGTAATAGCTCGCATGCTTCAGTCATGCTCCATTGCTTTCAGAGCGGCTCAGACTTGTGAAGCAATCTATCAATGCCTGCAGCCTTGCACAAGACACTGCATGCGTCTGCCGCTGAATGTGAATTGTGAGTCGTTCCGCAGCCCACTGCTCACAGGGCCGGGGTGTGGTAGATGGGATGGAATCAGTGGATGATGTTTAGCTTCAGGAGGCGGTACAACGCGTAACTTCACAAGCGCTCCTCTCTGTGTCATTCGCCCATGTCGTCAAAGACAGCAAGATGTACATTCGATGAACATCGTCGCCGAGTACTTGGATTGCGAGGCTTAGAATCAGAAGTCCTAGTGCGTTTTTTTTGTCATTTCTCCTGAGACAGACTCGGGCATCGCTAATGTCAGCTGTTTGAGTGGTCGGCTGCTCGCAGCCCTACCTCTGCAGGTTTCTGGTGCTCTGTGGAATGAGCTGCACCAGCTCACTCATGACCATCTCGACCTGGCAGGCACTTCTGGCATCCGAACCTTTGCTTCTTGGCACGTCTTGGCACTTCTTGCTCCTTTCTCTTCAATGGCCCTGCCACAGGCGTGACGCTGCCGTCCTCGCTGCTCCCAGTGGTGCGGCGAGTTCTGCAGATTTGGACGCCTTTGGCGCTGCTGAGGGCACGGCAAGAGCTGTCGGCACACCTGAGTCTTTGGCAGAATCTTGCCAGGCGCAGTTGAACAGTTGCCAGTCTTCGACAAAGGGTAAGATGTTGGAGGGTGAGAAGACAAGGGGCATGAATCCGAGAGCATGGGCGCGACAAAGTTGTTTTTTTTCCTCACTCCCCTTGTTGAGCATGTCCACCCGTGTTGATACTGAGTGCCTCCGACCCCCCAAGCTTCCATTCCCTCGTCGTTCTTATGCTTTGCTCAGTGCCTAAACGAATCTGAAACAAAATCACGTGTCTGAGCTCCTGATCAACACAATACAGCGCGTGGCGGGATGTGATAGGATTGAGAAAGAGATCTGGTGAGCATGATTCAGAGGTTTTTTGAATGTCTCGGCATAGGCCTCAATGTAGGAACTAGTGTATCGGCACTGCAAGACTGACCGCATTCTTTTTTGTCAGTTTCCCAAATGAAGTCTCTAGAGGGGAGTAAACTGATGTGGGATGGTCCCCAAGGACTGGCCGGTTTGCAAGGACTGCCGGGTCCTCCGAGACATCCGAGACATCCGAGACATCCTGCTTGTATGGAATCATGACTGCAAACTTCTGGCGCTGCTTCGACGTCTCTGCGCCTTCGGCATCTTCAGCATCTTCAGCGTCTTCAGCGTCTTCGTTTGGCGTTTTACGATGCTTGCAGCGCATTACCCGTGGTTCCCTCGTGACCATGGACACCCGAGAGAGCTGGGGTCCTTTAGAGTTCTCCCAGAGCTCACGCTGGCCCCTACAGCTGCTTGATGTGAGACTGGTTCAGGATCAGTGGGCTGGTTGCAGTGAGTCAGGCTTGCCTGCATCAGCGTGCCCTGCACTTGGCGTCCCGAAACTTCGTCTCTTGCATGGTTTGGTTCCTTACAAAATTGACGCACCGACGCCGGCATCAGAACGTGTGCTCCAACAGCTCAAAGATTTCCCACAAAATGAGCCTTCTCCCCTGCATGCTGTGAAGACCTCGCGCCACTTTCAGCTGACTGTTGTTGGCTCTCACATGGGCAGCAACATGGAACCTCTGTCCATGGTCGAGGAGTGCTTTGCTCGGGTAGGCTTGTCATTGGACTCCACGGTGCTGGGCACCACTTATCCCTTTCCAGAGATCATGTGTGAGTCCTTCGGCCACTGTGCAAGCAATCGGTACATTGACGATGCCGTGCGGCTTCTTGTCCAACAGATGTATCGGCCGGCTTGGGAGCCGCATCAGCTGCTGAACTTGCTATCTGCAGGATTGAAGGATCCTGGCATGCAGCCAGATCTCTTTCTTTGTGCGCAACCGATGGCCTTGTGCTCTTTCTTGCGTAGCCTCACTATGCAGCCCATGCTGTTGTATCAAGCCTTCCCGCTTGTCGGTGCCACGCCCAACAGCTTTCGGCACCTCCTGCTCGTGCAGTTGCGAGAAGTACAGGTCTCCAATCCGAGACGTTCCAGCCTTGTGGCGTACTCGGAGTTCCTCGCGCAGCAGGTGCAGCGTCAGACGGGACAGCGACCTCAGTGCTTGCGACCTCACTCGCTGTATGCCTTGAGAGGAAGGGGAGGAAGTGCGACTTCCACTTACGACCCTGACACGCAAAATCCTCGAGTCTTGCTGGGGAGGATGGCTGGTTGGGCTCGGGACGGTGCCGGCGCCATGGTGCGGCTGATGGAAGCCTTCGCTGAGGACTTGCTTAGGCCCAGCACTTCACTGCGCTTGGCTCCGAGGCAGCACCAGCATCGTTTTCTTGCATGTCATCGGAGTCAGAGAGGGGTTTAAGTGGAAGAAGTCAAGCTGGAACATAAGGGTGTTACTACGGTTCCCTACTCTAAGCTTCAGCCTGAAGAAAGGCTCTGCATTCGAAAAAGCAGCCTTCAGGTGTTCCTTGGCCTCAGTCGCGATGCATCAGAGACAGTTGCTGGTATAGCTCGTCCTTTCAGCTACCACGAGCTCCGCCGATTCCGGGCCGCTGTCTACTTTCCATGGGACATGGGAATGCTTTTGTTTAGTGAGCTCTATGCCATTGGCGTTCCGACCTTTCTGCCTGACCGCGCCTGGGTGGTGTCGATCATCAAGAGAGTCTCACATGCAATGGCTTTAAAAGGGTTTCAGACTGTTTCAGATGGTTTCAATTGGTTCCTGTCAGGTCTTTGAGATGAATAGATGCCTGGGTGGGCATGGATGGCTGCGGCATGTGCGTTTCTCATGCCCACAGGTTAAGATTCCCACACTGTTAAAGCGCTTGTGGACCTAAGCTGCGCAAAAGTTGGGCTGCCACTTTGCGAGGAATGTTGGAGTACACCGATTTTGGATGGTGGCAGGCTCGAGAGGAGGGCTCCTCTGTAGCTTTGCCTGTGGCGTCCAACGTGTCCTTGAACTGGCCCTGGTTTGGCGAGAACTCTACAGTGGCACATATTCTCTCGCCCCTAGCCGTCAAGTGATAACGCTTTCTTTGATTGCTGCTTCTGTTCTCGTCCTGGCTGTTCGGGCCTTTTGCTGAGGCTGTACGACCTGACCGACTTCGTTCGCTGGCAGGGCTGTGTTACCAAATACATGTACGGGCCGCATCCTTGCTCAATGACGTGATCTGCAGGCCCTATGTGACGACCTTTCCCAGCCTTGCCCGCCTAATGACTGCGCTCCGAAACGCAGATTTCGATGCGACGAGTGGCTTGGCTGAGCCAAGTAATGCATGCAACATGGGCTCTGTGATAGCCGACAGCCCACACCTCTTCGGAGACCTATTTCTTGCCAGGCAGGCTGATGCTGCGATGGAATGAGGCAACCCTGCCACTGCCATGTCCTCAGCATCATGAGATGTCCGCAACCCTGTCGTGTTTCGTGTCCCGAATGCGCGGTGGCTATTTGGGAGGGTGACAACTAAACAGACTTTTTACACATTGCTACATGATGTGCATTGGGATCGTTGTACCCCTCATAAGGTCACTGAATATTCTTGGGCGTACGCTGGCAGCCATGTTGGACAACACCACTGATCCACCACCTGTTGACGAGTCCAGCTGCGTGTAAAATTTCCACAGCAGTCGATGGAGCTGTGAGTTAAGCCATGTCTTGAACATCCTGGTCCTCGCCAGAAGCAACTCCAGCAATTTGATTGTGCCTGTGAGGATAGTTTGGTTTAGGACCAACCCGAACAAGGGCTACTCAGCTACTCATACAGCTACTCATAAATGAGAGAACCTGTGACCAAGTAGCACTTAGCTTGTTGTTTCGCTAGGCCCTGCAGCGTTGATTCGGTGCCCATCGCTGCGACTTTCACGGCTCCAGTTTGATGTTCGTAGAGATAATCACAATTTTTGACATTCAAGAAAGGTGAAGCGCAACTGTCGTTTGTGTTTTGAGGCAAAGAGCTACTTCACCCAACCCAGTGCAGACAGCCTCCCCCATTGGTTGCCAGCAGCTGGAAGGAACTCTTCACTTGCTGGTTCAAAGCCTGTGTAGAAGCTATGCCTTATCCAGGCGCGCCAGCAGTGCATACCCCAGACAAGAATTTGTGCGAAGGGCCAAAGGCCAAAAAAGTCCATGCGCTCTAAGAAGATGCTCTCTAAGGGCATGTCCAAGGAGGATCCCAAGTCTCCGAAGGCCTCGGGGCCACAGGCGCTGGGTTCGCTTTGTCCAAGATTGCCTCCACGTTCCTTTGGTTGCTGTTTCTGCTGTAGGCGTTTAAGAATGATCGAACTTGGAGCGGCAGCTGGCGCAAGGTGAAAGTTCATGGGCAGCCTCCAAACCAGGCGTGGCCCTTTGCTCTTCTCAGAGCAAGCTCCATGCTTCGCAATTTTGAAGTTTTAAGCTCTTGTGCCGTGTGCCATCTGCCTTGGTCAGCTCTGTGGTGACGTGGACAGCCTGCAATGCGAGAACTCGAGCCTCCTGTCCATGCCTCCGGTTTGCACAGGGCCGCTAGGCCAGCTCGGCAATGCTTGAATGCATCTGAAGCGCAAGCAGCCAAACACTCTGTCTTGCAGTTGCTAGTTGTGTGTTCTCGGTGGCAGGTCGTCGTAAGGCCTCTACAGAGGACAACGAAGAGGAGGGGGCCACTGCCATCAAGTCAATATCCAGAAATTTAAGAGTGAGTGCTAAGGGAGTGCTAAGCGTGTGCGCATGTTTCTTTGCGCCTTGCACCCTGCCGCAGGACATGTCCTGTCAAGTCCTTTCTCGAGAGGAGATCTTCATCCGCACATTCCCAGGCAGTTGTACTCCTCCCCCCCCCCCCCCCGGTGACCACGCTTTTTCTTTAGAGTGTGGTGCGCTGCATGGGCGTGCATGTTTCACCAAGAACATCATCAAAAGCACAGGTCGTCCCATTCTTTTTCGTGGTTTCTAGACCGAACATACTCGGATAACATCGTGAATGACAGCGTCAATGCCAATCCGCCCTGTACGATCTATCAGGACCGTAACGTCCAGCAAATGGTTTCCGACGCTAGATTGGAAAGTAGATAGGTGCTTGTGAATCGTTGTTTCCTATGTGGACCTGCAGTCATATAGCTTCAAAGAAAAGGAGGGACAAGCCCACGGAACGTAGCGTCAGCTGGTCCAGGCACCTACTGGAATGCAGCTGGCGATTCAGACGCGTGGGAATATCAGTTTTCGTCAGGCACTCTGCTCGGCTCGAGTTGTGCTGTTCAGGTCACCGACCCAGAGGCCGCTGCAGCGAGAGGACGTTGAAGATACAGCAGGCCTTCGCTGCCTTCACATGCCATGTTAACATGCATGGCTCAACATGCCTCTTTGGGCCTTTGATAAGTTGGTGCTGTTTTGACGAGGAACCCCCACAGAGCTCCCGTTGAGCTGCAGTCCTGGGGGGAGCGTGCAGGTGCCTCAGTGTTCAGGGATCCTCAGCCCCTCCTGGGCAAAGAGGTCGAGCGCGAACATGGTGTGGACATGCTAGGACGCGGATCTCAGGTCAGTCAACTCCGTGAGCACTTCAGAGTTTGCTTCACCTCGAGTGGTGGCCTGAGCCCTGCAGTGATAGGCGCTGTATGATGACCCAGAATGTTTCACGATTTGGCTCACGTTGAGGTGACG